AGGAGGCTACAATGCTTGATAAGAAATGTACTCATTATCTTGCCCATGTAATTGTAACCCCTCTGTACAGTATTTTCACAATAAAAAAAAAGGATAGGTATCTGAAGATAATAGGAGTTACTTTCTATATGTCAGAATATTTTTTTACTTAAAACATTTTTCTACTTCTCTAAAATGTCCTTTCATCTGTTGAAAATTGAATTGAAAAATTTTTAAATAATAACCATCATCGTGTTGCATTTCTTCTTTTAGTCAACAAATAGTATTGCAAGCCCATTCTTTAACAAGTGCTTAGAGCAAGAATATGTTCAAGAAACTTAGATTATTTAGTAAAAGTGAAAAGAGACATACAGAGATAAAATAAATCATTGAAATCATTAATGCATGCAAAGTTGCTCACTTAGCTTTTTAGCTTGTGGCTGGTACACCACCACTTGAGCAACATTTTTACTTCTAGTTTAATGATAGTTAATTGGAGATAAAAGTCTATGGAGTTTACTGCCCAGACTGGCTTCCTGATCTCAGCTTCCTGAATAGCTAGGATTACAAGTGTGAGCTACCAAGTCCTATCATAGACCAAGATTTTAATACTTTTGAGACATCCTTGTATTTTTTCTATTACTTAGTTAATTCTCTTTTTAATCTTTAAGTAGTTATACAGAGGATTTCATTAAACATGTGAATTTCTGAATATAATGAATCTTGAGCAATGTCACCTCTAAAGCTTCTGTTCTTACTTCAGAGCCTATCTATGTACATACTATTCTCTTTGTTTTCCTTTAGTTAGGAATTAATTGGTACCATTTCCAGATACTATTTATTTTAAATATACATATATATATATTTGTCTGTTGTGTGTTTTTAAAAACTATTAATAAAGAAGTTCTTCTACCATAACTAGTATAAACACTGTATGAGAAATAATACCATGGTTGCTATCATAAAGGTTAATTATCCCACTTTTCACAATAGAAAAAATTCTCATCACCTTCCAAGCATTTTTGAGCAACTATTATTTACAGAAAAAATAAAACTAGCTTCTGAACTCAGTTTCACATCTTCATTATAAAATCCTAACACCTTTTGCAAATTTAATGTTGAAGGCTACAGTTCTCTTTTATTCTCTTTCCCAACCACTTCTGTCTTTTCTTTCTAGGGATTCTTCAGCAAGCGCCTGAAAGGCTCTATCAAGAGGACCAAAAGCCAGTCTAAGCTTGACCGAAACACGAGCTTTCGGCTTCCATCCCTTCGCAATACAGACGACAGGTAGGAAGTTAATGTGCTTAACATGGAGAAAGTACTGTTAGAGTGGATTTGGATGACGTTCCTTGGCCTTTTCTAACTTTGCATTAATGACAGAGCTAATACAAGATTTATTTTTTTTAAGAAATGTACTCATTACTTTATGGATATCACTGTAACCTCTCTGCACAGCATCTTTACAAGAAAATAAAATTTAAATTTTTTTTAAAAAATGATTTTTTGTTTTGTTCATATTAAAGCAAAATACAAAATGTTGACTCATATACTCAACCAGTTTAAGCATCTTATGAAATAAGTGGGTGATGGAAGGTAAATATAATCGAAGTATATTATTTACAAAGAACCTTATCATAGTAGAAAATTGAGGATATATAATAACTAATTTAAGAATCAATTGTACTGTTCTAGTGATTAGAGAAAAATCTGTTTTTGTAGAATAGTTATTAAGAAGTGATAATAGCTAACGCTTTCTGAGCACTATTGCTGGATGTTTTATACATATTATCTTAGTTAACCTTTATAATAACCCTATATGATAAATGGTGTTATTTTTCCTATTTAACAGATGAGGAATCTGAGGCATAGAGAGGTTAAATGATCATGGCTAAGCTCATACAGATAATAAATAGCAAAAATACTATTTGAACTTGGGTAATTTGGCTGGCTCCAGAGTCCGTAATCTTCACTGCTTTGTTGTTCTTCATATTCAACATGTGGAATCAGACATTTATTGGGCAGAAAACTACTGCTTTTAACAGTTTATTTTATCTCTGAACTACATAAAAAGCGCTCATGGAGATTTGTCCAGTTGACAGTGTAGTTGTCAGATGTTCTCTTTTGTACCTCTTTGGGTTTTTTATTTAATACTTGAAATTTATTTTAAGCTAGTTGCCAATGGTTCACACCTGTAATCCTAGCTACTCAGAAGCTGAGATAAGAGGATCATGGTTCGAAACCATCCCAGGCAGGGAGACTCTTACCTCCAGTTAATCACAGAAAAAGCCAGAAGTGGTGCTATAGCTCAAGTGGTAGAGTGTTAGCTTTGAGCAAGAGGAGCTTAGGGACAGTGCCCTAGCCCAGAGTTCAAGGCCCAGGACCAAGGAAAGACAAATGTATTTAAACTGAGACATAAAATAAGTTTTCCTATTAATGAAATATTCAAATGATGTTTTATTATTGTATGTTTACATTGTGTATTAGTCAATTTAAGCATGTCTGTGTCCTCAAATACTTTATGGTGAAAACTTTCAGAATTTTTTTTTGAAATGTATAATGCAGTTATTACCTGTAGTCCTACATACAACTTCTTATAACTCTCAGTATCCATTGATTAATATTTACCTGTCCCTTACCTTACCTTATTTTCCCCAACATCTAGTAGCCACCATTCTAATCTCATTATCTGTGAGGTCAAATTTAGATTTCATATATAAATGAGATCATGTGTTACTTGAATTTCTGGGTCATTTCATTTAGAATGATAATCTAGTTCCAGCTTTATTGTCCCCAAACGACAAGATTCTTTTTTTCTTTTTCTTTTTTTTTTCTTTGGTCGGTTGTGGGGTTTGAACTCTGGGCTTGGGCACTATCCTTCAGCTCTTAAGGTCTTCAGCTCAAGGCGAGCGTTCTACCGCCTGAGCTACAGTGCCACTTCTGGTTTTCTAGTCGTTTATTGGAGATAAGAGTCTCAAGGACTTTACTGCCCGGACTGGCTTTGAACCATGATACTCAGATCTCAGCCTCCTGAGTAGCTAGGATCACAGGTGTGAGCCTCTGGCGCCCAGCTTAAGATTTCATTTTTTATGGCATAATAATATTACATTGTATATACCTACCACATTTTTTTATTATTTTTATTTTTCTTATGGCAGTACTGAGGCTTGAACAGAAGACTCAAGCTCTAGCTCAGCTTTTTTACTCAGGACTGGCACTCTACCACTTGACCCATGCCTCTAGTCATACTTTTTTTTGTTAGTTGGAGATAAGAGTCTTGAGGATTTGTCTTCCTGGGCTGGCTTTGAACCTCCAGTCTCAGATCTCAGCTTTCTGTCTAAGATTATAAGTGTAAGGTGGGCTCTGGTGGCTAATGCCTTAATCCTTGCTACTTAGGAGGCTGAGATCTGAGGATCGCAGTTCAAAGCCAGTCCAGGCAGGAAAGTCCCTGAAACTCTTATCTCCAATAAACCACCAGAAAACTGGAAGTGGTGTGTGGCCTAAGTGGTAGAGCGTTAGCCTTGAGCTAAAGAGCTGAGGAACAGCACCCAGGTCCAGAGTTCAAGCCCCATGACCGACAAAAAAAAAAAAAATTATAGGTGTTACCCACCAGAGCTCAACTGTGTACCACATTTTCTTTATCTGTTCAACTTATGGGCACTTTAACATTTCTTTGCTATTGTTGCGGTAAATGTGGGAGTGCTGACATCTCTTTTGCTTCCTGACATCATTTTTGTTGGATATAAACCCAAGAGTGAGTTTGCTAGATCATATGGTAGTTCTATTTTTTAATTTTTTGAGGAACTTGTATACAGTGTTCCATAATGGCACTAATTTACCTTACTACCAACAATGTATAATAATTCCCTCTTTTTTCACATCCTTGTCATCATTTGTTATCTTCTATGTATTTTGTTGGTAACACCCAATCTGACTGAATTAGGATATTTCACCATGGTTCTGATTTGCATTTCTTTTTTTTTTTTCTGTCAGTCTTGGGACTTGGACTTTCCTGCCTGGGCTGGCTTTGAACCACAATCCTCAAATCTCAGCCTCCTCTGTAGCTAGGATTACTGGCGTGAACCACCAGCACCCAGCTGCATTTCTTTAATGATGAGTGATGTTAAATGTTTTCCCATGTGCCTGTTAGCCATTTATCTGTCTTCTTTTGAGGAATATCTATTCAGTTGTACTGTACATTTTTAAATCAGATGATTTGTGTTTTTTACTGTTTTGGCTATTGAGCAAAATTGAGTTCAAGCCCAGTATCAGCACACACACAAAAAGAATGAAGGGGGAGGGGAGCGGGCGGGGCGGGGGAGGGGGTAGATGGGAAGGGGAAAACAAAGGAGGAGGCAACAATGCTTGATAAGAAATGTACTTATTACCTTGCCCATGTAATTTAAACCCCTCTGTACGGCATTTTCACAATTAAAAAAAAAATATATATATATATGTATATAATTTTAAAATGTCCAGAATAGTCAAATCTCTACTGATTGACTAATGATTGCCAGACACTGAGGTTATGAGATAGGTGGAAGCAATGAATGAGGAATGACTTAAAGAGGGCATGGGGTTTCTTTCTAGAGTGATAAAAAGATATTATGGTGATGATTGTACAACTCTGAATATTCTGACAAGTATACATTGTAAATGTGGTAGTTTTGTACTAGGTAATTATATTTCAGTATAAATTGCTTCAAAACAGTTTCAAAACAGTTGATCAAAAACACTACAATAGGGGCTGGGAAGGTGGCTCAGTGGTAGAGTGCTTGCCTTGCATGCATGAGGCCCTGGGTTCGCTTCCTCAGCACCACATAAGCAAAAAGAAAAAAGCTGGAAGTGGCAGTGTGGCTCAAGTGTCAGGGCGCTAGCCTTGAACTGAAGAGCTGAGGGACAGCGCCCAGGCCCAGAGTTCAGGCCCCACAACCGGACCCCCCCCAAAAAAAAAAGAAAAGAAAATCACATTTTTGGGGCTGGGAAGGTGGCTCAGTGGTAGAGCGCTTGCCTTGCATGCCTGAAGCCCTGGGTTTGATTCCTCAGCACCACATAAGCAAAGAAAAAAGCAGGAAGTGGCGCTGTGGCTCAAGTGGTAGAGTGCTAGCCTTGAGCTGAAGAGCTGAGGGACAGTGCCCAGGCCCAGAGTTCAGGCCCCACGACCAGACCCAAAAAAAAACAAAAAAACACTGCAATAAAATACACTAGGTGGTGAACCCCATTCTGGGATATAAAACTTTATTACTTTCTTAGTGTTTTACTTTTAAATGTAAATAAATAATCAAGTATCTTATAGATCATGGGGAAAGTCTTCAAAATGAAATACAAGGACAAAATAATATATAAAGGGGAAAAGCATCCAGAAGAAGCAAAGTGGATGGAGGAAATCAAGTTTACAAGTAAAATTAATGTTGGCAGTAGATAAGACTATGCCTCTATGAAACAACAGGATAATATAAGAGACTATCAGTGAAGAAAACAGAGAGCTTGGAAATTAATATAAAAAGCTAATGTCAGCTTGCTCTTTCAGAAAGTGGAATAGAAAATTATTTTAAAAAATCAACCCAGAAGATTATACAAAAAGAGAACAAAGATTTTAGAGTAGAAATAGTCAAAGAAATAATCTAAGAAAATGTACCTAAACAAGAAAACAAGTGTCCAGATTGGAAAGACCACCAAATTCCCAGAATAGTAAGTGATAAAAGACCTCTTAACATATACACATTAATTCATATCATACACAAAATAAAAAATTACTCAAAGACTTGTTGAGTGGTAATTCCTCTGTGCAACTACTTAAAGATAACAAAAATAAAATTGTATAAACATATAAAAATAAAAATAAAATTGTAAAGTCTTAATAGCTTCTAGAAAGAAAAAAAATGATTATATACAAAGGGGAATATACGTAGTAGGTAGGGAGATTGGATGGCATTGGTATTTTTAGTGGAAACAGAAAAATAGAAGTCAGCAAGAATATTAATTCTGAGAGGAAGTTATTTTCAGCCCAATATTTTGTACGCAGGGCATTTCTTGAATGCCAGTCTAAGGAATAGGGAACATGCAATCTCTTTTGAAACAATTGGGCTATAGATAGAGAAATCTTACAATATGGAATACAAAATTTCAGGTACAGACACTTATTTTGGAAGTTAGCATGAAGAGTTTGGAAGAGTTAACATGAAACTATTGCAACATACAATGAGTAGGTACTGGTGGTTCATGACTATAATCTTAGCTACTTGGGAGGCTAAGATCACTGTTTGAGGCCAGGTTGGGCAGAAAAGTTC